CTCCCCCACGGGCCCACCAGCTGGCATTGTTTAGCTTACGGGACCCGGAAGAGACCAACTCTGTGGGATTTACCGGTTATTGGGAGTTATGCGGTAGAAGGCGGTCTCGAAGATACCCTGGCCCTGAGCCATGTAGGGCTTTAAAGGTAATAACCAACACCTTGAATTGTGACTGGAGACCAATAGGGAACCAGTGCAGCTTGCGGAGAATTGGTGTAATGTGGGTGTACCTAGGTGCACCCACGACAGCTCGTGTGGCTGCGTTCTGGACCAACTGTAGTCTCCGAACACTTTTCAAGGGTAGCCCCATGTAGAGCGCGTTGCAATAATCTAATCGTGAGGTGACACTGGCATGAGTGACCGTGAGGAGAGCCTCCCGATCCAAGTAGGGTCGCAATTGGTGCAGCAGGTGAACCTGTGCAAAGGTCCCCCTAACCACAGCTGTCAGATGTTGCTCTAATCTTAGCTGTGAGTCTAGGAGGACATCCAAATTGTGAACCCGTTCTGAGGGGGACAATTTCTCCCCCCCAGAACCAAGGATGAAAATGATTTTGTAGAAAACTACATCTAAAATTGAAATAAAAGATTTAAGTTTGTCTCCAATTATTTCAATGCAGATATGTATGCCTGTTAAAATTTATTATGCTCCAAAATTTATTTATGCTCCAAGACTAATTTCATCATTGTGATATCAGATTGTATGCATCTTATTGAAATAATGCAATTAATTCTAGATAATTTATTGAATAAGATTTTTTAAAATATAAAGTAATTGATTTCATCATTTAATTTTACTGTATATTGCTAATGAGTGGAAATATCTCATATTTAAACTGGTATGTTTTTCTTTCCTCAATAGGAAGTATGCACACTTGAACATAAATTATATATCCCAATGTGTTATTGTGCAAGAGAAAGCATAGAAGAGAAGAAGAAGTGTGTGGAGGGAAAGAGAGAAAATGAGAAAGTGATCAGGTTATAAATCCAAATATATATAAAGCCAAATACATAGAGAAAAAAAGACTACACATTTTGAAGGTATTAATTTGCATATTCTCTTTAGAATGCAGATAATATCAGATGATTTTAAAATATATGACTAATTTAATAATTAACTAAGCCCTCTTCATTTCAATAAAGGTCTTCCCAGAAGCCATAAATACTGAATCAATTCTATTTCTGCCCAAAGGATCCTCTTTGTGAGAATGAGTGTAGGAAAAGCAACAAACTAGATGACTGGTGTTGTCAGGAACAAATATGCCATTCATCTATCTGTTCAGAAGCCACAGAAGGCCAATAACATGTTGTGGATAATAAGTGACTTTATTGAAAATATCATAATGCCCTTTTATAGATCAATATTTGGAATATTGTCTGCACGTCCCAAAGGTGCTTTTTCAAGAGGCAATTGGACTTTCTTGTTTTTCTTTGAAGATGTTTTGCTTCTAATCCAAGAAGCTTCTTCAGCTCTGACTGGATGGTGGGGAATCAGAATCAGAATAGAGCCTTTGGAGGTCTTCTAGTCCAGCCCCTCGCTCAAGCAGGCGATCCTATACTATTTCAGACAAGTGACTGTCCAGTTTCTTCTTCTTCCAGTGGTGAAGCACCCACAAAGTCTGAAGGCAAGCTGTTCCACTGCTAATTGTCCTCACTGTTACGAAGTTTCTCCTCAATTCCAGGTTGCTTCTCTCCTTGATTAGTTTCCAACCATTGTTTCTCATCCTGCCCTCTGGTGCTTTGGAAAATAAATTAACCTCTTCCTCTTTTTGGCAGTCTCTCAAATACTGGAATACTGTTATCATGTCCCCCCTAGTCCTTCTTTTCTCTAGACTAGCAAACCCAAATCCTGCAACCATTCTTTATATATTTTAGTTTCCAGGCCTTTAATCTTTTTTTTTTTAATAATACTTTATTGATTTAAATTTTTTTTTAAAAAGAAAACATCAAATCTTCGTTAACATCCGAGGTGTCGTGCAATTACATATTTACATTATATACATATCAAGTATCTTCGAATCTACCATTATTAAAGATAAACATATCCTTACAATCTCATTCTATTATTCCACCATTTGTACCACCTTTCCCATACTGCCTTGAATTTTGAATTCTCATCGTCTTTGAGAGCGCTTGTTAATTTTGCCATTTCTGCGCATTCTAGGATATTATTTATTATTGTCACCTCTGGAGGGGTTTGTTTGTCCTTCCAGTATTTTGCGAAGGTTAACCTGGCCGCTGTTATGACATGTATAATTAATTGTATCTTGCCTTTAGAGAGTCCATCTCCCATCATTCCTAATAAGAAGATTTCAGGGGAAAATTTTATATCTTCTTCCACTATTTCTCGTAGCCAGATTCGTATTTTTGTCCAAAACTTTTTTGTCTCGGGGCAGGACTACCACATATGAAAGAAGGTGCCTATCTCCTTTCCACACTTCCAACATATTGCTGAGGCACTGGGAAATATTTTTGCTAATCTAGCTAGGGCTAGATACCATCTATGAAATATTTTATAGTGATTCTCCCTATAAGTTGCTGATTTAGTGAAATTATAATTTCTGTTCCAGGCCTCCTCCCAGTTATTAAAATTTAACCTATAACCAATGTTTTTTCCCCAAATATTTAGTTGATTTCTGGCTATTCCTTCTGCTCTGTCCTCGCCTAATAAAAAGTTATAAAATTTCGCTAGCATTTTCTTTTCACTCCCCCACATAATTTTATCCAAATTGTTGTACTTCGTCTCTATACCGAATTGGTCCCTATCTTTTTGATATCTTGAGCTTATCTGTAGGTAGCTCCACCAATCTAAATTAAAGCCTTGGTTACTTAATGTTTCTCGTGATTTAAGAATACCATTATCATCTAATATATCTTTGTACGTGCCGAATTTCAAGATATCTCTTTTATTAGAGGCAGTCAAAGCCTCCATAGTTGAAAGCCAGATCAATACTTTCGTGTAAGATCTTTGCCTGATTTCTTCCCATGTTTGAATAAGGGTCTCCCTTAATTTGTGTTTGTGGAAATATGAGTTCTTTTTGTTCTTTAAGTCCCATAAATAAGCGTGCCAGCCTGCCTGTAGATAGTGGCCTTCTAATATCAAAATTCTCTTGTTTTGTAATGTAACCCATTCTTTGATCCATACTAATTTGGCCGCCTTCTGATATACTTCCCAATCGGGTAATCCAAAGCCACCTATGTTTCTTTTCCCTTGCAGTGTTTTATATGCAATCCTTGCCTTCTTTCCTTCCCATAAAAATTCTCGCACCTTCTTTTCCAGATCTAAGAAATATTTTTTATCAATGTTCACTGGTATAGTTTGAAATAAAAATATAATCTTGGGGAGAATGTTCATTTTAATTGCTGAGATCTTACCTGTAAAAGACAATTTTAACTTCTTCCATCTGTCTATATCCTGCTTTATTTTTTGTAATAATGGAATGTAGTTATCCTCCTTTAAAGAGGAATATCTTGAAGTAATCCATATTCCCAGATATTTTATTTTCTTCACTATCTGAAGGTCTAAGGACTTTTTTAGCTCTTTCCTGTTTATCTCTGTCATATTTCTTGCTAAAATTTTAGTTTTGGTTTTATTAAGCTTGAAGCCGGCGACTTCTCCATACTGTTGTACTTCCTGGAGTAATTTGGGGCCAGATTTCAAGGGATCTTCCATTATTAAGGCCATGTCATCTGCAAAGGCTTGTGTTTTAAAGTTTCTTTCTTAATTTGTAGTCCTTTAATTTCTTTGTTATCTCTGATCTTTCTGAGTAGGATTTCCAGCGCCATTATAAGAAGTAGAGGAGACAGGGGGCATCCCTGTCTAACTCCCTTTTGTATCCAAAATATCCGCGCCTTTAATCATCTTAGTTGCTTTTCTTTGCATTTTTTTCAAAGTCTCAACATCTTTTTTGTAATGGAAGGATTTATATTTCTTGCTGATAACTGGTCATTTGCATTCTTTTGGGGAGTCATTGAGGCCACTTAGAGGTTTATCTGTGGCTTCAGGGTCACCTGAATAGTGCAAATGTGAGAACTGCTGAAAGGATTGTGTTGTACACTGGAAATAGATGATAACTTATCCCTTCCCCTCTGTTGAGAGAGGACTGTTCAATTTTGACATGGATGGTCTTTTCAAACCAGCAGTCCTCTCTGTCCAAAATGTAAACTTTGCTGTTTTCAAAAAGAAAAGAACAATAAACAAAACAATGTTGTCATTCCATACATTACAGAAATATCTGAAACGCTCAGGAGGATCTTCAGCCAACCCAACATACATGCACACTTTAAACCCAAGAATATATTAAGGCAGAAGCTTGTCCACCCCAAAGATAAAACGCCCAGACACAACTGAGCAACGTGGTATATGCGGTACAATGCAGTGAGACATGTGCAAATCTGTACATTGGGGAAACAAAAGAACCGCTTCATAAATGCATGGCACAACATAGGAGAACATACCTATCAGGACAAGATTCAGTAGTCCATCCACATTTAAAAGACAAAGGCCACTCTTTTGAATGCAACGTAGGGAATGACAACATTGCTTTGTTTATTGTTCTCTGCTTTTTGAAGACAGCAAAGTTCATCTGGTATTAATTAAAATAATCATGATTATTATTGCCCTTAATTTTCACATTAAAATTGTCAGCAACTTTTGGAGAGTCTCTGAGGCCTAGGGTGGATAGGAGATAAAGACAACCTTGGAGCATCAACTTCTACATCCCTTTTTGTCTATGGAAAAAAGTATCTGTGTGGGGGGAAAAAAGAGGTGGAAAATACATATGGGAATATCACTACCTTAGCACCATCATTCTGTTCATGTGAACGTTCTCTTCGACGGCTAGATAAATGAATCAAGGCACTTCCAAATTATACAATGAGATTTTGGGCTATCAGGCATCATGTGCAGAAAAAAAAGAGGGCAAAAAGCTGAAACTCAATCATCAGGGCTATATTTAGGGCTGATAAAAGTAATTTGCAGGGGGGATGCTTGTAGTACCAACCTTTTTCAAAATGCTTTCCAGTACTTGGCTTATATTTTTGCCACGTTATTTCATTCTTAATGTTTGATTGAAATCAGCAGCAGCTCTCCTCCTTCAGTTTTGCAGGCGGGAAAAATCACACATCAAAATACTATTGAAGTCTTCTGAAGGATTTAAACTAAAGAACGGAAAAGAAACAAGCAGAAAACTCTGTCACTAAATCAGAGAAAAACTTTAGAGATCTGAATGGGAGATCAAATAAACCCTGCAGCTGCTAACTGATTACAGCAGCTATCCAGAAGGCAGAGTATCACTACAGTCAGAAGGTGGCCCTAGTGCTTTACATTTACTCCTTTGCAGAGTATGATGCAGAACGCTGTCAACCAAATTTCTCTAGACCTTCCCAGGGTTCAGGAAGAGGGGAACCCATAATATTGTATATCAGTACATGCTCCTGCATTTCATTTATAAATGGAGTGATTTCAGCCTGCCCAAATAAGGTGCCTTAGGGTTATAACTCTTATTCTGGGCATTTGTCACAATCAAGAAGTGCTAAGCATCCACTTAGACAAGAGACCTATGTGGATCATTCAGACCCTTCTCATTTTTATCCCTCTTCAGCTTATTTCTACCAACCTTTTATTTCTATATCTCTTTTTCTCCACACACACAAACATACACACAAGTAGTACATAAAACAGAGAGTCATGCTGATAATTGCTGGAGAGAAAAATGCAACCCCCCCCCAAACAAAAACAAAAACAAAAACAAAAACCCTACAGTCAGACAAGCCATATACAAAGCTTTTCCAGGTCACAGATGATTTTACTCTCCACCATAATACATAAATAGATATAGCCATACTGGCATTTTCACAATAATGTAATAAATTTCACTGGCCAACAAATACATCTGACATGCAAAGAAGCAACTAAATTCTTCTCTGAATAGTAGCTACTGTATTTTATTTATTTATTTGTTTGTTTGTTTGTTTATATTTATATACCACCCTTCTCCCAAAGGACTCGGGGCGGTGAACAGCCAACAGATAAAACACAAGAAATACAAAATTTAAAAACAATATTAAAATCCAATTAAATTAATTTGGCCCACAATTAAAACACCCCTATATTAAGACCGATAATTAACAATTTAAGAATTAAAACCATTTAAAAGAGTTAGTATGATAATCATGTGCTGGCTTTCTATTATCCTTATAGGCATTGAGGACTAATAATCTTTAATAGGAGCTTCTGGCTCATACTAATGTGATTTTTTAAAAAAATCTTGTTGACAAGTATGAATCTTCTAGTAAAATATACATTATTTACCCCAAACCAAAGAATCTAAGCTAAGTCGAAGAGAGAAATTGAACCCAATATACTCCATACCTATTCTGTGAAACAAATAGTTCACCCCTCCCCCAGTCCTGTCATTTTTGGAATTAGAAAAATTAAAACAAAGCCAAAACTTTGCTCATGTATTTTCATTCTGGCATAAAGTAAGTGGATATTTGGGCTGGTGGAGAAAAACTCTACATTCAGCAGACAATTTTTGCTGCCAATGTTTTGTGCCCAGAATGAGTAAAAGAAGCAAACAATTTCTCTTTTGCTGCTTGTGGCAAAAGTTGACAATTCTTTCACCTGCATTTACTTTATATAATATAAATCAAGGATTTTCTCATTAATGTTAGTGGCCATATTTTACATGTAACAGTTATATAATATTTTGCAAGATACTGTTCAAAATATAATTGCAGCACCTGAAATGTTTATGAATTATTATTTTAAGATTGTATATTTTTTTGGCCTAATCTTATATTCAGAAGTAAGAGCTGGGCATGCATTTGAAATGTTTGAAAAATTGAGGCCCATTTGGTTTAGCTTTCTTTTATTCAAAGAAGTAATAAGAAGGAGAGAAAGAAGGAGGCATTGAATTACTAAAGGAAGCATTTTAATAATGACATACAATTAAATATCAGAATAAAAATAACTCACAGTTATAACCAATGTTTTGAAAAACTGCACTTTCAAGACATTTAACAATGTTCTACTACAGTTTCTGAGACTGTATTACAGCATTTTCGACCTGTCCCCTAATATGGCAAGATTATTTGGATTTAAGTCTCAATGGGAAATCATGCCATCAGCTTCACAATCCAAAAATCAATGTGTGGATCTTATGTTTTAAGTGCAACTGAAACAGAATGTCCTAAATATCCAATTGCTTGCCAGTGCTGGTGTTTAAAAGAGAGCACTGCTCAAGAAAAACAAAATCAGTGTGGTTCCACATAATTCACAATTTCATATATTACTAAGGCAACATGGGATTTCACTACAAAGGAGTAATTTTTCAGCAGCTTCAGCAATATTATAAAGAAGAATAGCAAGGAAAAAGAACATTATGCATTTTGTTTTGTCCTGTCCTTCAGAACATTTCTGAGGATTTGGTCCAATAGAAAATGGCAATTACTCCAATAGTGATGATAAAAGTAGACCTGCTCAGAAAAAAAACATCTTATAGACACATCTGAAAAAGGCTCATGGTGGCATAGGCAAACTCAATTGAATTATAAGGAATGAGAAGATAAGACAAATCTGGTCATTGGAACTGAATTCCAATCCAAAGGAACTGTCTCTGTATTTGGTGGATGAAGAGGAAATGAAAAGAAAGTTATCAAGAACTGCAATTAATCCTTCAGGATCCTCCCTCCCTCCTACTCATTTATCAAACCCTGCTCTCCCTCCTCTTGCCTTTTTCCTCTCAATGTCTTTTGACCATGTTAAGGCCAATGGCCCTTATTGATTTTACATGGCTTTCAATTTAAAGTGAGGCATCTTGAGTTAGTAAGGCTATTGAAAAGGAATTTGATATTCTGTTCAGTGCCTAACTTGCCACTGAATGAAAAGCAGATAGTGATAAATTACTTTATTCTATAATATAATATGCAAATGAATTCGAAAATCCTAAAGGAACACATCAGTGCTTAACACTAACCTTCTGAATGGGGTCCTGCTAAGTGAAATTTATGCATCTGAGACAGTTAGAAAATAACTTGCTCAAAACAATCATGTGTCTTTCTGTTATAATAGCATCTTCATGTATAATGATACATAAATAGTGCCTAATGACACAGAAATTTTGAAGTGTCCACTACAGCAAAACACTGAAGAGCATTCCACATTGTTAGGATTAATTAGCTTCCAATTAGCAAATAGGCTTAATTCTAAGAACTATTTCTAAGACTTGGCCAAATCTAATTATCTGGTGCCTATCATGTTTTCAACTCTAGGTTCCATCACAAAATCTAAAGCTGAAGATATAAAACCCTCTTTCTTAGATTTTCCATCTCTGGCAAGTAAGGATTGCAATGATATACCAATATCAATGTTATGGATTAGTTCGCCTAGATATGTGGAGAAATGTAATCTACTTCTCAAGTGGTATAACATTCAAAGGGATAATTTTTAATTTATTGGTATTTATTGTTCTCATTTAAGCAGTGATTATAATAATGTAATAAATTTTGATTCATTTTAATTTCTGCATACATTTTACTTGATATATATGATTAATGAATAAAATATATTTCCTGATCCTAACTCAGCCTAAACCCTGCTGATAATTCATTGTCTTTTGATTTTTCTTGTATCTTATTGTTTTACTGCCTTTACTGACCTTGGCTAAACTAAGCACAGCTGGCACCAACCTGTGGTGAACTTTAGGGGCCATTCAAGAAGAAGATTATAGCAAATTAATTATTTAGTATGGCCAATCAAATTATGTGGATGAAGAAAGTAAGCTCTACTTCAAAACATTTTTAATTATTTATTTTTACTTTTTCCTCAGGGTACATATGTTGAAGCAAATATATTGTAGCACCTTTAGATGCTGATATACAGCAGATCAGTCTGATTCATGGTTGAATAATATTTTGGGGACTGAAGGCTATATCTCTGAGGGAGATGGACAGTTAAGGAATATGAAATATAAGTAAGTAAATAAATAAATTGTTCTGTAAGTATAATGTGAAGGCTGTGCAGAAAAAATAAAGCAAGGAGAAAACTATGAAACTTAGTTCTCACATGCAGAGGAAGACAACTTGTTATCAAATCTGACCTTTACCAAAATAAGAAACAGATGGAAACTAGGCCTGGAAAAGGGAATGGTCTGGTCCACTGCATAGTGTGAGAGATTTTAGTAGATTTTCAAAAGTAACTATCTGCTGCTCAGCTTCTTAAGGATACACTGGAAATTGCCATTATACCAGATAGAATTTGTGTCAGATCTACCAATGTAAGATTTGATGCAGGAAAGAGGAGAAATTGAAACTACTGGTCTGTTATCTGCTTGTATTCCACTATACTAAAGAACCTTGTTTCTACCATTGTGGAAACAAAACATTTAAAAAATGTTTACAGGCATATTGTTAATATATGTCTCATCTACATAGATTACTTCTGAGTTATACCTGTATTATGAATACACCAGCTCAGAACAACTAGTCTAAACTGCCATGCATATCATAAGCTGGGCTCCCTTTGCTAGAACACAATAATGACGTACCATTATCTAGTACTTTTTTAGTTTTGGTTCAGCAAAAAAAATATCATTCTCTTTTAAGGCAATACATTTATTGAGCAGTCCTGTATGCTTAAAAAAAACATTAAGCAAATAAGAACAAATTGTGAACTTTAAGAAATAAAATGTGAACATAGCACAGCCTCAAACTCATTTCCTATAATCAGACTAAGATAAATGGAATTAAATGCTTTGTTTTACTGAAGTCTGATTTCTAAAAAAAATATTACAATATTCATAAATTGGTCACCCAACTCTTTCTACAGAAAATTTTTTGAAAATTGTATAATAATATGTATGATAATTCATGCCTAGCAATAAAAGCTGCAGTTGATAATATGGAGAGAATTTGAAGGTTTGGCTGGGATCTACTATGGTATTTTCCACATTAAATGTATCCAGCACACATCCCTTTGCCAAATACATTTCGAATGTTTATTTCTTATAATTTACAGGAATTACTTAAATATAAATAATAATTTATTTCCTCCTTTCAAATAATCTCAACTGAAGCATAGAATTAAGTGTTGCTTTAATCCCATGACTTTATTTTTACCATCTCCATTTTCCCAACATTGCTGTTTTTGGCACTCAGCC